AAAAATTTGGGACTCGCGCTACTAATGTGGTCAATGGCTGTAAAATGCCAAAAAATATAATGTGGTCATTTCGAGTGGGTGGAAATTGTTTGTTAGGNGACAGAAAAAATGAACATCGATCTTCTTGCAGTTGGTAGCCGTGGACTGGGCCAAATAAAAAGGTGATTTCAAACTTTCCTAATATATTTTCCGATAATGCTTTTTTGTTGAAAAACAAAACAGAATTAGCTAGTTGGTTTATATTTATTAATGCTACCTGGCCGTAAGTATTTATTAACTCAAAATACTCGCGTTTTCAGCCGAACAACAGAATCTTAGCAATTGAGTTCCCGGTCCGGAACTTTCAAACTTCAATTGGATTTTAGCAGTTAGTAACTTTTAATCACATCATTAATTTCAATGTCAACTCAATGTAGATTCGAAAGCCAGCAGCTATTTCTTTTACGCAAACCTTCAGCTCAACAACAATTCTAAAAACTCTAATTAATCCCATGGAAACACCCACCTTTTATCCTCCATCACCATTAATCCTTCTCTTTACCCTACCACCACTGCTTTTTCCAGAAGAAGAGAAGCAGAGTTTGTGTCAAACCCAGCAAAATAGAAGGAAAGTATCATTTCAATTGTCCAAAGACAGTAGTAGATAAGTACCAAAGCAACCACTCCAAAGAAAAGAAAGAGAAAATTTTCCTTAAAAAGTTAACAGAATAAGAACCCCACAAAAAATAGAATCCAAATGGAGAGAACAAAAGGAGAAGAGAGAAAAGTAGAATACAAAGAGATAAAAGCTAAAGAGAAGCCGAAAAAGTATATATATGAAGACACTCTCATACAGAGACGTGAAAAGAGAAAAAGAGATAGGTAGAGGCTGCCAAAAAGTTGTCAATTTTTACCCAGCCCGAATGTTTATAATGAATAAGGCCTTTTATTTTAAATAAGATTAAATGGGTTGTTAAATATTTTGTATTTTATAGCTTAGTGTTTTTCGGGGATTAAAATTTTTAGGACCCTTCAAAACTTATATAAATTTTTAAGACAAGAGTGTTAAGAATGGGATAGAAGGGACACTTTAAAACCCCAAAGTTTTCTTATTTACAAAAACGTCTTATTTCTCCTCCACGCCGATGGATATTTGAAACATCTCCCGTTACGTTTGAAACATCTCCCGGACGTTTGAAACTATCCCGATGGATGTTTCAACTATCCTGAGAGATGTCTCAAACATCCCAGGGATGTTTCAAACATTCCGGGAGATGTTTGAAAACATCACGGGAGATATTTCAAACAACTTTGAGATGTTTCAAACATCATGGGAGATATTTCAAACATCACGGGAGATATTCAAAATTACCCCCAACTTTTGTTATTTTTAATTTGACCCTCGAACTTCTTGTGTCCTGTATTCTTACACCAGACTTGAGAAGTCTTTTTTTTACCTCTTTTCATACGTCTACAAACCTGCATATGGGTTTTGTAAATTCCTACTACTTGTTAGATGGGATGGCATTTAGACCTAATGCTTCCAACGTGTAGTACACCGAGAAATATTATGATGTGTCTTAGTCTATAAATAAATAAATTTTGTACCGAAATTCTTTTCACTCGTATGGATAATTTTCTTTTCCTGTAAAGCCACTAATTCGATTTTATCACTAAGGTTTTGTTGCTAAACACGTTTAGAATAATTTGCTTTACATTTTTGAAGTTCACAAAAATGTGTTCATCAATTGAACATCCACAGACTTAGAATTCACTACTGTTGTGGATATCCATTTAGTACTCCATTTTCCTAAAGAGACTTACAAACCAGCAAGTAGCTAGCAACTTCTAGGAAAAGCTTACAAATAGCTTCAAGGAATTTTGTAAGTAACTTACTGAAGTATCTTATAAATTCTTGCAAGCAAGAAGTTTCAAATGGCTTGCAAGTAGCTTCGTGAAGTAGCTTGCAATAAGTTTGAAGTAGCTTACAAATAAGTTTTTGTTGTGGTGTAAACAGGGAGTTAAATTTAATTTATTTTGTGCATAAGTTTAAAGTGAAATAATATATCAGTCTTTCCTTATACTTTTCTCTGTTTTACTTGCTTTATAATGTTATTTTAAACACGTTATGAACACGACACTATGTCATCTTGCACAAAATACTTCGAAAAAATTTAAGACATGAATTTTCTTCTTTGTGCATCATGACAAATCTGGCTAAATTTGAATGCGTAACTCTGGATATTTCAGGCAAAAGTTATTTGTCATGGTATTATATTTTGAAATTCATCCTAATGAGATGTGTTTTGGAGACCTCATCAAAGATAAAAATCATGTATCAAATTAAAAATGTGCCAAAGCAATGATATTCCTAGTCCCCACCTTGATGGAGGTTTAAAAATAGGATATATTATTGTGATCCGAAGGAACCACTTATATTGTGGAATACCTGAAAGAAAGATATGACCCCGGGAAGATAGTCATGCTTTCATAAATATGTTGTGATTGGTCCATCTAAGCCAACAAGATTTTATATCAATTAGTGACTATAATTCTAATATATTCAGAATTATTTCAGAATTGAAATTATATGGACAAAATGTCATTGATATGATACGTTGGAGAAAATATTCTCCACTTTTCATGTCTCGATAATGCGCATGCAACGGCAATATCGAGAGTTGAGATTCAGGAAATATTATAAACTAATTTCACATTATTCATGGCGAAACTACATAATGAAATATTTATGAAAATCATGAAAGTTGATTTACTGATTCTATTTCATTCCTTAAAGTAAATGAGATGATACTACGTTAATCTAAGCATGAAAAAGGGTGGTATGTACTATTTGTGATCGAGGAAGAAATTCTTATCAAGATGGTCATTAAGCGCCGAAGAATACCTTTCACCACCGATAGTGAAAAATGACAAAATCATGAAGCAATGCAAATAAAATTTCAAAAACAAAATCAATGTGGAGCACGTCTTAATGTTTTGTGATGGTATTTCTTGCGCATATAAAGCATATTCAAGAATTCATGGATGAAAAATATTTGGTTTATGACGAAAAATAAATTGTGTCAGAATCATTTATGATAATTTGTTGGTATGCAATCAACAAGTGTTGCTGCATATAAATAGCATGATTATAAGTAGTGCCCTTAATATTAGTTGTAAAGTGTTTGATAAATGGCTCTATAAGGTATTTTTTACTATGAACAGGGACCGCAAAACTTTTATTCCAACTAATAGAAAATAATCATCAAAAGTTTGAGATGAGAATCTCCAACGTTATCAAGGGGAATACCCTTAATGGGATAACTCAAAAATTGGGCTCCTGATCGAACTATATGTGAGTTGCGATGATGGCACACATGAGATCATCTTGAAGATGCATTGAATTTTCTTATGTTATATGATGGTGGTGCTCGTGTCGACTTGCCTAAACTTTGAGTAATTTTAAATGGTAGGTGCTGCCTCCGACCAACATAATTACCGAGTGTTTCTACCCGACAAGATTTTGACAGATGAAAATATGTTATCTAATTTTTTTTTTGCCTCCACTGAAGTTTTAATCTGGTCTAAAAGATGCATCTCACAATAAAATTAATAACTTGTAAGAATCTTCAAGTTCTTTAATGGTTGTCCATTTTAATTTCAATGTACAAATGTATTTAAATTGATTAATATCTAGGTTATGACAAAGTATTCCTCATTGTGCTAATTTATGTAAAATTTAAGTCAGAAGACAAAATTGACTTTTTCTGAAACATATTTCTCACCGAAGGTATTCTTAGTAATATAGCGATATTCAACATTTACTTCATTTATTCTCTAAACTTGATAACTATTTTGGCGGTTATATTTAATATCTAATAAGTTTTTTTAGACAGAGAAGAATAATGCACCGTCTATAATAAGCAGGGGCGGTCCATCCATAAAGCAAGTAAAGCAACCGCTTTATGCCCCATATTTATGGAGGTCTATTTTTTGTTACACCTAATAAACTATGTATAATTTTAAAAGAGTTCTGTAAAGTGAAAAAGTTTGATTTCTTTCTTTAACAAATATAGAGAAGAAGGATTTGGAACTGCTATGATTTCTACCAAGAAAATTGCACTTGAAATGAATATCAAATCCGAATTTCGTAAGAAACGTATGATATATGGGAAGTAACAATTTGATGCGAATGTTGATAATGAAATTTCAAAAACTTTCAAAGAGTCCTTTAGAGTTGATTACTTTTATGCATAATAGACAACGTTATTTTTCACTTCAAAATAGATTTGAACAATTCCAAGCATATGAAAATATTTTTGGTTTTCTATTTGGCAGTAAAACTAAGATCATTAGTTGTTGGAAATTTGAAAAAATATTGCATTATTCTTGAATGTTCCTTAAAACACAATAATCAATTCGATATTGATGGTTTGAATTTATTTCCTGAATTAAAAGTATTAAGGAAAATAGTACAATTAGAAGATAACAGTTTAATTGATACACTTAATCAAATAAAAAAATTTAATTCTTTTCTAAATGCCTAAATTGCTTGTGGAATAATGTTACTGTTGCTTCAGCGGAAAGAAGTTTTCAAAATTAAAATTGATAAAATCTTACCTAAGAACAACAATGTCACAAGAAAGGCTTAATGTATTAGCTATATTGTCAATTGAGAAATACTTATTAGGAGTTTTTGATTATAAGAAAACTATTAATAACCTTGTATCGAAAAAAAACTAAAAAAATAGACTTAAATAAATAAATAAAAAATTTAAAAGTTAAGGTCCATCATAAAGTTTGACTTTAGGCCACAAAATTCATCGGACCGCTGCTGATAATAAGTTTGGTTCTATAAGGCAGAAATATATTGGCTCTTTGGAATCTTCAATAAAATTTGCATTACAGAAATTATAGTGACGTTTGTCTGTCCTATTAGCAAATAAGAAAAGTATTTCTGACATTTTCATATAACATGTGTTGTTCCATTGTCAATTAAATAAATGTCTTCGTGTTTGACTAAACAAAACTTGAGAAAGATCCATATATTCTTCAAAATGAAACGACATAGATAAGTGAATATTATAGTAAATGTCATTACCAAAATAAAACATGACTTGTACTTTATTTACAGGAGTCATGATCATATTAGTTAGAACAAATAACAGAAATTAACATCAATATATTTAAGTTTCCAGCTACAGATCCATCATATATATGATCTATTCCTTTTTAGAGTGTTCAAGGAAATCTACTACGACTAAGTGCATAAAGTCAATATAATCTTCAGAAATAGTGTTTCAACATTATTTTCTCTTCTTTAACATTCTTCGTAAAACTCAATCACATGCTTTGACGTACAAAAATGTATGTGATCAGTGTCCTTTTCCTTCATATCGAAAATATATACTATTTTTTAATTTTTGTTTGCATCGTTTTATGCTTTCGCCCTTCTTCACTGCTGATGTTAAAGGTATCCTTTGGTACTTACCATTATTTCTTTAACATTCTTCATAAACCTCAATCACATGCTTTGACGTACAAAAATGTATGTGATCAGTGTCCTTTTCCTTCATATCGATATTATATACTATTTTTTAATTTTTGTTTGCATCGTTTTATGCTTTCGCCCTTCTTCACTGCTGGTGTTAAAGGTATCCTTTGGTACTTACCATTATGATAAGAATTGTTTTCTCGATCACGATTGGTACTGCGACCCTTTTCATAGAGTACACAAATACTTGAGTGATTTTGGCTGGATATCCCAAATTCAATGTCACAACCCAAAATCCAACCAAAGGTCGTGATGGTGCCTACTTGCTTGCTAGGCAAGCTAATATACAACAATAATAACATAAACAAATTATTAAGTCTTAAATAGATTCATGATATAAATAACAATTCGGAGTATGCCTCAAAGCTCAATATCATAAATACAAAAGTCGAGACAAGGTCATATCTGTCTAACAACACCCGAAGTTTGGTGTCACATCACGACGAACATCTAATAAGAGTAAACGGTGTCAATCGAATAACAAGATTTGTCTGAGTACATAGATAAGGAGAGAAAATATGGGGAAGAGGACACCAAACGGATCAAGTAAAATAGCTCACCGCGAAGTCTCCACACTAAACTCCTATCAGCCAAGTGGGTACCTCTAATACGTGCCTCAGATCCTGCATAAAATGTGCAGAAGTATAGTAGGAGCACAAAATTAAAGTACTCAGTAAGTATCAAGTCTAATCTCGAAGAATTAGTTGAGCAGTCGACATAGACACTTACTAAAAGTATAATAATCAGGCGAAAACATAAATAAGATACGGAATAAAGCATGATATCACCAAATAGGCACAAAAACTAGGAATACCATATATGTAGAATTAGACATACTTTGGAGATAAAGAGATCGAAACAGATATAAAATACTTCAATTCTCGCGCAGAAACATGATGTACGTCAACCAATAGCTATATAAAAGTTACGACATCAGTCATATCATGCTCAAGATCCCTTCTCAACACGTCACAACACAAAATTCATGTGCCTCATACATGCCACGTGTCTAAAACCAAGCACCAAAAATTCGGGTGCCTACGCTCACAGAGCTCAAAGTAACATGAGTAATCTCCGGACTTCCAGGGAACAGATCCATATCCAAGCGTTGATCAATTTTACAATCAATGATCAATAGTCAAAATCAATATCCATTCATAGTCCATAGTGCCAAATTTTTTAACTTTTTACAATAATCAACTCTCCAACTCATGCATATTTGTGTGAAATAAGATAATAAAAGAGCATCGGACATAACAATAAGGATGCAGCTAAAAGTTCATATGGCTATGGCTAATCACGTGATTCAATTTATCACGACGGCTCAATGAGCTAGTTCAACGAGCATAAGTCTTAATTTTATTATTTAACATGAGCAAATTAAGTCATATAACCACCAAATCATGAAGCAATTAAGGCAAGTGTATAGCTACATATTAATAATAAAGCTCAATATAGCAAAATAATTCTCTACACGAAATTCAATAAGTTATAACCTTAAGCATGTTTTTAAGTCAAAATTATGAGTTATCACATAGTCATAGATTCAATAAAATATGGATAAGTAATTTACACAATCCAAACAAGGCATTCAAACTCTACTTGATACGATCATAACCTAGCTAGGCATATGTGCTCGTCAACTCGCATATACGTAGTTCCTAAATCCATTAAAGTAGCAAATAGATCACCTATGGGGAGAATTCCCCCATATAAGGATAGGCAAGAGACTTATCTTCGTCCGGTGAGCTTTACACAATCAACAGCCGCCTTCCGTCCAAATTTAACTCTAAACGACTCAAGTCTAGTCAAATGTAACTCAATAATGTCAAATAATGCAGTAGAAATCATTTCCAAACAACAAAGCTTCAATCCTTTATCAAATCCTCCAAAACTCAAATAAAATTCAACTTGCGCCCACGAGTCCAAATATATGATTAGATTCCAAAATTGACTCCAAATTGACCCTCATATCCCTAAAGTACATTCTTTTAAAGAGCAGACAAAATTTCAAATTTCTTTTTAAAATTTCATGTTTTAAGTTTATAAATCTATGAGAATCAAGATATATAAACAAATTAACCTCAAAGTAGTAGTAAAAATCTCCTTCAAATCGCCTCTTTCTGTGCTCCAAAACTCAAAATAATGAAAAATGAGCGAATTCCCAAAATATGTAGTGTGACAGGCAATCTTGCATCTGTAAGGTCGCATTTGTGGCTCTGTTTCCTGTCAGCCTACCCTCGCACCCGCGACTCACCATCTGCTTCCACGGCATTGTAGGTGCACATTCCACTAGCCAGTTCCCCCATCGCAGGTGCGCGACCAACTCTGCTTTTGCGACACCACATCAGCGCAATCGCCTCTCAAATGCGGCCACCCACTGGATTAAGCCCAAGCGCATGTGCGCGCAAATCCATCGCACGTCCGACTTCGCACCTGCATACTTATGCACGAGACACATGCGAGGCCTTTCGCGATCTCGTCCAATCATACCAACATGTCCCCATATCCAATTCAAACTTATCCAAAAACTCAAAACACTACAAATAACAAAAAATCCAAGAATCGAAGATAAAAATTCATCTTTTAACTTTCAAACATTCCAACTTCGCCAAATTCATCCGAACCATGCCTAAACATTTCGGATTTCAATAGAACTTTGCACACATGTTCCAATCGACTAAATGAACCAATCCAAGGTCCCGAAACAATAGGCGAAATTTGATGACACCAAAGTCAATTTCCGGTCAAACATATGAACTTTCAATCCTTCAAATTGTCAACTTTCGGCAAATAGAGCCAAAACCTTCTAGGAACCTCCAAATTCGAATCCAAACATATGTCCAAATCTAAAATCACTATATGAACCTATTGAAACCATCAAATCACCAATATGAGGTCGTCTGCTCAAAAGTCAAACCTAGGTCAACTCTTACGACTTAAGCTTCCAAAATGAGAGAAAGTGTTCCAATTCACCTATGAGCCTTCCCTAAACTAAACAAATCATCCCCGCAAGTCATCAAACATCAAAAAAAACATACGGCAAGCATAAAATAGGGGAACAGGGTCATAATACACAAATATTACATAAAACGACTTGGGTCGTTATTACATTCAAGAAGCAAACTTCCTCTGGTTAAAGAATAAGAAAAATAAAACTTTTGACAAATTTCACTCTCTTACAACCAACTATCCATTTCGAGAGCTCATGATAAAGAAATTTTTTCTATGTTGCAGGGCGTTTCTGGGAAGCGTAAGCGACTACTGTGCCCACCATGCGAAATGCCCTTTGCTTATTGTGAAGCCAACTAAGAATTTGGTTCAAGAAGTTGTTCAAGTTTAAGTATAAGAAGTTGCTGTAAGTATAGGATGCGCATAGTGCAATAAGGTAAAAGTAAAGGAAACGTTTTCTCCCCCTTCTCTCTGTTGTAGAATATGATCTGGCTGTTGTAGAATATGTAGATAGTTCATGTCATAAAAGCTTTTAAAGAATCTTTTTTTTGTTCCTATTGTCCTTTAGATTGTTGATGATTATAGATAGTGTCTTTTGACGTAAAATACAATGAAGTGAGGTGTACAACACATTAACTCCACTCTCAGGCTGTCATACACCAGTATATTTGGTACACAAGTTCTTTCCGTATTCGTGTCCGTAGGGTTTAATTTTCGTTAGCGGATTGCAGACCATATTAACAACATTTTGGACTCTCTGTGGAAGAACTGCTATGCATATTAAAGAATAGAGGGAAAGTTGCTTCACTAACCACTGACACCTCCAGGCGCCATATCGTTTACTACTAAATATCTCATAAACGAAAGTATTATCAATTTAGTTAATGTACTTGATGTGTGATGCTTTTATCTCCGGCAATTCACTAGAGTTTGTCTGAATTTTAAAAGCGATCACTCTCCCCCACGACGAAGTAATTTAGAAAGACTTTTACCGGAAAGTTACCATTATATGCATAGGCATATGCTGCATTCCATTTTCTCGACAACCGCTACCGGTCTGTTAGTTTTTCCATCTCTTCGGTTCCCCGGTTTTCGTTCGAGTTGTAAGAGGCAAAAACTTGTACCACATACAATTTGGAGGACCCATTATATAATTTGGAGCCCCAGAGGTGGACCTAAGTTGGTGGCAGATGGGTTACCGAAATATGTTAAGCCTCGACAAATATATACATACATATAGGACCCATTATATAATTTAATTGTGTCCCTCAAAAATGAATGCAGGATGGTTTAGCATGGAGAATTGGCTACTTTCCGTGGCCTGCTGACCCAAGACCAAGACAGAGCCAACATCAGCACTTTGCTCTTGTTTTTCCCCCCTTTCTACTAGGTGCCCCGCTATGCTCAAATTTTGTGTCCACCTCTGCCAGAGTCCCATCCCATCAATAAGGGTGCGGCTTGAGTCAACTAATACAAATTTTTAGAAATACCTTTATCGAAGATGAAAGTTACCATTGTATCCATAGGCATTAATGAAATTAACCGCATCTCATTTTCCTGACGTCTACAGCAGCAGCAGCATTTTAAGGGGACTTAAAGAAGAGAGGTTAAAGAAAATAGTGCATATTGTCATCTTCTAAGTTTATTTACTCCACCCTCAAATTGACTCATATTTTTTTTCTTCTGAAACCTAACTCTTGGAAAAATCTACAGGTATATTACCGAAGAGTGAAAAAGTAGTTTGCCGCAACAGCAATTTACTCAACAAAGCTACTCCAGCTGTAACAATCAAGCAACAATTTGCCGTTATTTTGAACCATCTATATCTAAAAGAAAATCACAAGTCATGCAACCTGTCATAGTTGACTATTTAAATAGGTCATCATGATGACCAACTGTCATAATATTTGCCTCAGAGAAACATTGAAAATCTCCTAAATATGGATTATTCCTTTTTTGGTAAATCCTAATTCTGGATTAATACTTATGACCGTTGGTTCTCCCAAAAAAAAAAAAAAAAAAAAAAAAAAAAAA